TCTGTATGTAAGTTCCAATACCAGCAGTTGGTAGCTGTGTGACTTGAGGTGAGTAACTTGATCTCTCTGAGTCACAATTTCCTCATCAATAGAAGAGCAGTCCCTGTTTTATATGGTAGTTGTGAGGATTCGATGAGATAGCAATGTAAAGCATCAATCAATGTCTGCTGAGTGTCTCCTCTGTAAGTGAAACAGAGGTAAGACCTTACCCTCAAGGCTTTTGTCTGGGGATGGGCCGGGCGCACGCACGCACTCAGGTGTGATCGTCCCTGAGGGCTCTGAACAGATACAGGACACAAGGCAACAGGCCTAGTCCTGGGCCGGCTCTGCCCTCACTGCTGGGTGGCCATGCACAGATCGCCTGACCACTCAACCTCTGTTTCCCCACTGCTAAAATGGAATGTATGGTCACTAAAGCCCCCCAGCTCCACGTTTCCAAGGCGCGTTCTCTGGGACTCTTTGGACCCCTGGCTCAGATGCACTTTTGCGAACCAATATGGTGGAGCGGAGAGGGTGGACTCACTGCGGCAGATGTAAATGCACGAAGCTGGACAGCACCGAACACGCCCTCTAAGGTGGCTTCCCGCCTGCTTCCCTTGTCCAGCCGGTCATCACCATCTGATTCCATAGTACAGGGCTGAGTCTGCAAAGCGGAGATGAGCCCCTAAACCATCCCATGTCCTTCCTTTTTTTCCTGGGCTCCACGTTCCCCAAAATCCCTTACTCTGGTTCTCCAGGGAACTTTAGGTGGCCCTGCCACTGACGTTTCCAGGCCCAGATCTCGACACGCAGTTGTGTGTGTGTGTGTGTGTGTGTGTATGTGTGTGTGTGTGTTAAGTGTGACCTTTTCACTTTCATATCCAGGATTCTAATCTCAGGCATTCTAACACCTGGGTCAACATCTTGGAAATGTATTTCTGTTCCTCCAGCCAAAGACCCAGCACACATTTCTGTGTCAATGAAAAACCAGCAGCTTATTACCTCCTTGGAAGCCCTACGCTCCTCAGCAGAGGGCCAAGGTCTTGTTGCCCATAGGTGAGTGGCCCCTCCTCACACTCCTTCCCCTGCGTGAAGGCAGAGGGCCGCTGTGAGCGCCACTGGCCACAGGGGGCGGGACCGAGGGCGTGGCCACGCAGGTGCGCAGGGTTTGGGATTTCAAATCACGAAGGAATTCACGAGCGTCGGGCAAGGACCCCCAGCAGAGCCCAGTCCAAGCTTCCCCTTGCCCACGAGCAGTCACAGGAGATGGGCACTGCCAAGAACGGCTCTGCATTGTGCCTCCCTCCCTCCATTCACATCCCGTCCACAGCATCCACCAAGCACCTGCGGGCTGGGCACCAAGCGTGGAATTGCAGACACAAAGGTGACTAATGTGAGCACCCTCCCTCTGAAGGGCCGACAGCCCACAAGAGAACATTATGGACATATAAACAAATAATTACACTAGCATGCCGCTAAGTGCTCTAATAAAGCGATAAACGCTGTGTTCAGGGAGCTTGGAAGATTCTGGGGAACAGCAGGCTCTGAAGAACGCTCAGTGAAGAGAGGCGGAGCCTGGGGTTCAGTCAGCCTGTCCGGGTCATCCAAAAGCATTTCCAGCTCCCACTTCAGGCGGGAGAGTTTTTCTCCCCTGGCTGTTAGCGTGCACAGGAGATCCAGGCGCGAACTGGAGGCCCGGCTTCGGGCCGAGCAGCGGCACCGCCGTCCCAGCCGAGCGGCCGAGGGCCTCTTGTGCTTAAAAAGTGCCTCCCCAGGAGGGTTTTGGCAGCGTGGAGGGCGAAGACAAGAGCTTCCTCGGACCAACTTGCTTTGGGCAGAGAGCGATGTCAGGGCTGTCGCAGCTCTGGGCTATTTCAGGACATGATGCACTTGAGAAATAACAGCCCGACCTGTCTTCCCTCCAGACACGGGCTCCCTTGCACCTGACTCTTTAATTTCCCTGGAGGGGAAAACATATTGCTTCTGGCTATGACCCTGAGAGGGACTCGGGCATCCTCCTTCCTGACCGCTGCCTCCTACCTGGGACAGGGGCCAGACCCTGCGTGTAGATGCGTTCAGTAAGCCGCACTTCTGAGGTAGGGAGCCGTCTTCACTGCCTGTCTCCACGTTTGGGCCATCCTGTGTTTCCAGGGACCAGCGCGAGGCTGGACAGGTGTCAGCTGATGCTTCGGACCTTCAGACATCAAATGCCCCACTGACCTCTGTGGTCAGCTGCCTGGTGGGGAACTGGGCAGAGCAAGGAAGGGGCCAGACAGCCTCGCTCCCTGCTCTCAGTGAGTCCCCTCCTCCGGCACTGGCATTGAGCAGCCCCAGAATGTGTGCCCACATCATGCCGGATGCTGAGACGTGCTGAACTAGACCAGCCACAAACAGGTCTCCACCCTGGCCATGTTTACAGGTTTCTTTGGGGGCTGAGGTCATGTGGGCCTTCATAGCATCACACTTCAAGCCAGGGGTCTCAGTCACATCATCGTGCATAGAGGGAGAGGCAAGAGACCCCCCCGATCCAGAGTGGGGTGCTGCCAGTCACGATCCAGGGGCCAGAGCCCACCTCTAGGTTCTGTATGAGTAAGGGGTCCCCATTAGAGAAAACCCCGGCCAGTCCCCACTTGCCTGGCCTGGGCTCACCCTAGCACTCTCCTGGCTGGTCAGATGGCTATGCTAATGGCTGACATGGGTTAATTCACTTAATGCCCACAAGGACGCCATGAGAGGTTACCGTTACTATCCCCACTGTATCGACCAGGCACTGAGAGGTCATGAGGCTTACTCAAGGTCACTTGGATAGGAAAATGAACTTAGAGCCTGCCCTCTTATCTAATACCTTACTCTCTCACATTCCTCATTCAGCTTTGGAAACCCCACAGTGGCTTCTTCTCACTTAGTGGCTCTCTCAGTTAACAGGACAGGCTCTAGAGTCAGACACAAGCAGACTTGGGTAACCTTCGGAAGGTCACTTAATCTCCCAGGGCCTCAGTTTCTTCATCTACAAACTGGGATAAGAACACCTCCCTTAGAAGAAGTAAACATAGGGGCACCTGAGTGGCTCAGTCGGTTAAGCTTCCGACTTCAGCTCAGGTCATGATCTCACGGTTCGTGGGTTCGAGCCCCGCGTCGGACTCCCTGCTGACACCCAGCTTAGAGCCTGGAGGCTGTTTCAGATTCTGTGTCTCCCTCTCTCTCTGATCCTCCCCTGTTCATGCTCTCTCTCTCTCTCTCTCAGAAATAAATAAAACATTAAAAAAAAAAAAGAAGAAGTAAACATAGTACCATGTATGAGTGCAGGGTTTTTCACTGGTAAACAATGACCACATGACAGCAATTAGCATTTACAAATATATTTTCTTGGCTTTACATACATAGGTGAGCTGCCCAATAATTAATTGAGTATTAGCTGTGTGACCTTGGGAGGGTCATTTCACTATCTTCTTTCTGTAAAACACTGGATAGCATAATGCATTCCCCAGGCAAACCCGGGCTAGGCAGTGGGCAGAGGGAGGCTTCCTTCCAGCTGGCCTGGGATTTAAAACTTCATCCCAGAAAATCCACAAAGCAAGCATACACACACACACACACACACACACACACACACACACACACACACAGAGTTAGATGCAAAAAGTCTGTGACCTTCCGACTGTCTCTGGGCCAATGCGGTTCCTCCACCCCCACACCCTCTCAGGCTTTCTTTATTGCTGCCTGTCCACATTGGTTTCCACAGCACTTAGCACTAACTGAACTACTGTATGTTTTATTTACGTTTATTAACCATCTCCTTCACCCCCGCTGTATCGTCAGCTCCGAGTGGACAGGGACCGTGCCTCTCCTGTCCCCTGAGCCCCTGAAGCCTGGCCTGCCCCCCACCAAGGGCTCCTCAAGTCAGAACTGTCTCCTACAGCTCCCGCCCCTCTATCCCTCTCTCTGCTGCTGCGCTGCGGAGAAGTAAGTAAACCAGGCTTCAAGAGGCACAGATACTTAACAAAAAGCAGCCATAAAAATGGCTAATAAGTGGCTTTATTTCACATGGCCGTGCACCCTGCACTGGGCTAAGCACTCTCCGTGTATTAACCATATTAACTCACTCATCCTTACCACAGTCTGTCTCTAATTCACAGGGCCCAAAACTGAGGCACAGGGCAGCTAATGGCCCAGGAAATGGAGCGCAAGCAGCCTGATCGCTAAACGGACAGTCCCGGTCGTGTTGTTCAGGGCCTGTGGAGGCTGTGCCGTGCTCCCTGCCAGCTTCCTCCGTGCTTCCCCCACCACCGTGAATTTTCCTCTGTTTTCCCACTGCTCCTCAGTTACAGGCATCTCACCCAGAGGCATTTCTGTGCATGCACCCATTCATTCACCAGACAGGCATTGAGGACTTCCATGCCCCAGTCACTGTTTCAGGCGCTGCCCATCCCAGGAGAGGAGGGGGTCCCTCCCACCGGGGCACGGGAGACTCCCAGGGGCAGCCGCCTGTGTTTTCTCTTCTCTCGGTACAAACTCGTGTTCGAAGAATGCCCGGCTAAGCGGTTTGTCAGGCCCTAGCCCTGGAACCTGGGGCCCGGCGGCTGATGGGGTCTGGCCCTGATGAGACCTAGAAAAGGGGCCAGCCCTCTCTTGTGGGAGAGAAGGACGGGGCCAGGCATCCTTTCCCCTCCCCCGATCCTCTTCCACAGCCCTGTATCCTCCCTCCTCCCAGCTGATCACAAAAATGCCTTCTTTGCCTAATTATTACATATACTAATTATTTTCATTTACATGCCTAGCTTACCATTTATGTCTAATTATTGTGCAGCTCAGAAACAATTATGCGTACCATTAAGAATGTATCAGGGTAACTCTGCAGTGAATTTTACTTAACTTCAATACCAAACGGTTTGTGTGTGTTGATTCTCCGTGGTTCCCACGGCGTAAGAGTTCCCTGAGCTGAGCTGGGGGCAGGAGCAGGGACATCAGGGTGGGTCACACTGTCCTAGGGTGGTGGGTGAGAGTAGCAGGAGGAAGAGACATAATGGCTACAATTTATTGAGCAACTATGGACGGACACCAGATACCATTAAGCATGGCATTCACATTGTATCCTTTAAACGTCAAGGCCTTCAGTATTACAGCGAGGCAGGTGAGACGTCCAAGTTCTGGGGTTCAGGTGCAGATGTGTGCGGTCAGAGCCTGACCTCTTCACTGCCTCAGAGGTGCCTGCCCACGGAAGGGCACAAGGAGAGCCCTGGAGGCACCTGGGAGGCCCTGCGGTCCAACCACCTCGTTCTCCTGAAGAGGAAACTGAGGCAGGAACGGGGAAGTGGCTTGCCCAGCCAGGCTAGAGAAGGGCCCAGCACTTAGCCTTCCCTCTGCTGCTCCAGGAGGAAGCCGCCCTGGGAAGAGAAACAGCACCTCTGTACTCGGGCCCATCGCTCACAAGAAGCGCTCCCTCTGGAAGATGCCTGGTCTCTTTCTTCCTCTCCAGCCCTTTCTTTTCTAAACATGCATCCCCCTTCACTCTACTGACCTTCTCTCACGAGGTGTCAAACAGTACTTCCTCTAGGCCCTTTACATCTACCTGCCCGATCAATCCTCACAGTACTCATGTGGGGTGGAAACTATCATCATCTCCCCCTTTGCCAGCCAGGTACCCTGCGGCCCAGAGAGGGTAAGTGACGCACCCATAGTCACACAGCTGGTGATGTCAGTGCACAGATCCACGGCCAGGGGTCTCTGATTCCAGAGCCTGCGCTCTTAGGTCAAGACACAACATAACATTAGTCTGCTGGCTGCCAGAGTGGCCTCACACTTCTTTTCCTCCACGAGGCGGCCAAAACCAAACACCCTGTGTTTTGAGCCCAAAGATTCAAAGTGGCTCCAGAGCTGGCTTCTGTCCTATTCCAGAGCTTTGGGCTCTGCCCAGAGTTACGGGCACTTCAGGGGCTGGGCTAGATTCTGAGAAGTGTTTCTGGGAACGCCACAGACCAGGAGGGCTCTTCTTGCCCAGTGTCAGAATTACCAACAGGCAGGGAAGAGGACCAAGGAAACAGCATTCCGGAAGCTTAGAATGTTCCCTGTTCCAAAACAATACTCCTCATCTCTTGGGCCTTCTGATTCCTCATCTCTGGGGCCTTCCGACCTCTGAGCTTGGGCAGCAGGACCCTTCCCATTTCCTGCAGTCAGTTAGTAACACCTCCCAGGACTGTCTCCTCCCCTGGGATTATGGGGGACCAGCAAGCCGGGCCGCCGTCCAGGCGGGATTACAGGAGAGCACCAGGCTGAGAGGCTGGGAAGGCTGGGGCAGAGAACCCCCTCCCTCCCTCTCTCTGCGGGAGCCTGCCCGACTCCTCTCACCCTGGGTCTTGCCACTAGGCCTGGGCCTTCCCACCCACAGGTGAAGAAGGGCACATCCCTTTACTGTCCACTTTGGAACCCCGTCCCTGACTGGGCTTGCCTCCCTCTTTTGGCAGTAAGCCACTGAAGTACCGAGCACAGGGAACATGGGTGATAGCCAGAGTCGTTCTGGGTGGCAGGCTTGACAGAGGAGAAACGGTAGAGTCACCACTTCCCAGGTGCGGAGAGGGAGACGACACCCACTGCGCTGGGCTTTCCAGGATGCAATGTGCATGGCAGTGTGCCTGTATTCACTTCTCTCTCTTTTTTCTCCCTGCCCTCTCTCCCACTTCCCTCCATCCATCTGTCCAGCCACACATGCATGCCACATTCACTGGGCCCTTGCTGTAGGCCAGGCACCGGACCAGGCACCAGGATGCCCCATGGCTCACTCCCTCCCTTCCTGTGATCGAGGCACATCTCTCAAGGGGCCTTCCCTGCCTGCTGCCTGAGCAAAACTGCCGTGCCTCTGTTACCCCTCACCCTCTCGCTCCACTTCCATCTCCTAACACGGCATTCCCCACCACCCGATGAGTTCTGGTTTTTGTTTTCTCTATGTGATCACCCCCCACTAGAGTGTCAGTTCCATGAGGGTAGGAATTTCATTCTACTTTATTCACTGCTATACTTCCAATTGACTAGAATAGCACCCATCATGTGGAAGTGTGACAAATACCTGTTAAGTGAATGGCCCAGAGGGAGTGGGGTCACGGTGCACAGGAGGGAGAACAGGCCCTGGGATGGGGCTCCCCTGGAGCCTTAGCTGGCTGAGACCCCCCCACTCTTAAAGATCTCCAAGAAAGCCCCCCACCCACCCAAAGTGCCCTCTCTCCTTTGCACAGGAAACGTGGACAGTCAGTGCCCAATGCTCTGTCTTGGGTGGGGAGCGTCAGGAGAGAAGCCCCACCAAAGCAGGGGACCAAGCTGGGGAGTCCCCTCCTTTAGGGCTTCGGAAGGCACTGTACAACTGGTCTGGCGACAAATCTCTCACCCTGACTACATTTGTGTAAGTCCATTTGAGGGAAGACGAGTTCTCACTCCCTATGCTCGAGGCGCAGGCACGGAGCAGGGGCCCCAGGGCAGAGCGGGCAGAGGGCAGGGGCCAGCTGGGAATGACAGTGCCGTCAGGAACAGGACCTGAGTCTAGTTTACAGGGGGCCCTGAGTGTCCTGGCCCCCGGGGCTTCAGGGCAGCCCCAAGGGGACCTCATAAAGCTCCCTGTAACAGCAACTCCTGGCAGTCATTCACTGTAGGACGTGGGAGGTGGGAAGTGAGAGCCCTTCCTACCTCTACCCACTGCTCCTGCCTTCCAGTGTGCAGGGCAGGGGAAGGCAGAGTCGCCTGGGACCAGAGGCAGAAACTTCTGCTCGGCAGACACGACTGTTTCCAAGCAGGGATAACAAGCCTGTGAAGGCATCGGAGTTAACAGAACCTCCTATAAACTTGGATTCTGAATAGCTCCAGCAGCTGCATTAAAATTGCAACAGTCTTTCCTGTGGATTTTTCCAGATTCATGCAAATTTGTTTTGATTTGCAAATTGGAAATCAGTGGCAAGCACCTGGTGTAAGAGTCCCTGCAGGGAGTGGAGACCCCTGAGGGCATCCTCACACCAGCCTGCCAGCCTCCCACCCCCCACCCCAGGACCTTGCCCACTCCCTGTGTCTGTGTAGTCAGACCTCCTGGGTTCTAGGTGGGTAACGCCTCCACCCCATGTTGGTAACCAGCTCTCCACTTGCCAAACGAAATGCATCCAGTGGCTTCCAGGTGCTGGGACCCCCAGGCCCCTTTTTTCCTTGGTGAGTGAGGAAGGGTGATAGGTACACTCAGGGAAGTCATTCCAGCCCTCCTGGGGTGGTGGGGAGGAGGGGACATCATTATAATGAGAAGAGTGGCACTACTTCATCTCTCAGCATGGGACAGGCTAGTGCCTTGGAGATGCTCCTTCCTTCCCAACTGTCCGGAGCCTGTCCAGAACTACAGGGCTATGTCTCAGCTTCGAGCAAGGACCTCCTCCCACAAGCTCCAGAAAGCAGAGGGACCTGCGGGGACTCTCGGGAGAGCTGGGTCATGAGGGAGGTGCTGCTGGTGTCCCCGGGCTGCCTCCCGCCACAGGGCCGGGTGCTGCTCCCCGTCAGAGCCGTGCTCCCAGCCGAGCGGAGCCAGAGTGGACGAACATGAACGTGAACGGAGGAACACTTCCCCGCCTGTCCCCTCCTCCACCAGCCTGGCCTTGTTCATTCAGCTCTGAGAGAAGTCGGGAGGGAGGGCAGTTATGAACGGGCCCCACTATGCTCCCCCTTCCTCTGCTACGCAATTTAAAGGCAGGAGACGGAGAGGAAGGCTCTGGAAATGCAAGTGAAAATGTATTCCTGCAGCAATCCCGCACCCAATTAAAGTAACCCAGGGCCTATTGTCCTTCGCTAAATTTAGAAAATGCTCAGGTGTGTCTGATCCTACTCTGCATAGATATTTTTAATACAGATTTAATCATATTTTGGGTTAGGAGGAGAAGCTAATTAGGTAGGCAGATTGAGAAAAGCTGCTGGAATGCGGGACAAAGCGAGGTGATTGGATGCAATTCACTGTTTTGGGAGGGTGTTGTTTCTTTAAACAGCAAGTTGTGTCGAGCCTGGGTTTGGAATTCACAGCAAACTGGCTTGAAAAGGAACAAGGTGGCAAAGAATGGGAAAGCTCCCCGTGATGGTACGCAATGAACCCTAGGGCTGGAGGGGACCCCAAAGGGCGGTCACATCACTCTCTGTCTCCAGTAACTGCTGAACCCGAACACGGCCAGGGACTTCGCTGTTTAACATGACACATACACACGCTCTTCACGTGTGGGACGGGCAAGCTCTCTGGCTGGGTGCTGCTCAGTGAATTCTGGGCGGATGGACGACTGAATCAGTGACTGAGCAAATAAGAGGAGAAACAGGCCAGCACCTAGACTGGGGCGAGGGGCTTCCGGCTCCACCCACCTTGTCCCGGGTGGTCTGCACCCATCTGCCTCTGGTCCCCAGTTCCCCATACAGCACCAGACCACACCCGAGAACAACACATAAAAATGGGGTCTTGGCTTGACTCTGTGCTGAATCATCATGTGATTAAGCCAATGGCTTAAAAACCCCTCTAAGCCTCAGTTTCTCCCCAGCCACACAGGAATTCTGGTCTTTTCTTTATAAGGACGGCCAAGCTAGAGAGAGGCTTAACTGTGGTAATCTGGACACATTAGGAAGGGGACCGCCGAGGACACACACCCAGGCGGCTCAGCCCTGTGGCTGAGAGAGGTCCTGAGGTGCCCAGGAGCATTTTGTCTGAAACCGAGGGGCGAGTTGGGTTCTTCACACGGGACCCACCCCAGCTCCTGTCTTGGTGGTGAAGGAGGCTGAGCCCAGCGCGTCGTCACTGAGCTCTCTTTCCAAGTTCCTCCCGAGCGTCCTGTTAAGTAGTTGAGATTGCACATCTTAAAATGCAAAATGCAGAAGGGTGCCTACGGCACGCTGCCCGTCACTTAAGAAAGACAGGAGCAGAAGGAAGCACGCAGATACTTCGCTCATTTGTGCAAAAGGAATACAGGAGGGATAAACCAGACACTTAAGAGGCTGGCTACCTACAAGAGGTAGGTGGGAAAGAGGTGGAAAGATGGAGGATGAGAACGGGGAGCAGAGATGTGTAGGGAGGGACATTTCTCTGAGGATACCTTTTCTTACAGCTTTGACTCTTAGAGCCTTGGCAATATCTCACAGGGCCTTCACATATCCCAAAAGAAATGAGTGAAACCAGAAGGATTTGGAGGGACCATTCCCCCCACCCCAAACTCCACAGAATTCCTCCTGAAGGCAGACTCTTTCCTCTTCAGGGACTGGGCCCCACAGAGAGGACAGCCCATTATTTTCATAGTGTAATAGCCAAAAGCAAAGATTCTAGAACTGGGGTTCAAATTCCAGCTAGACCACGGACAGGCTGTGTGACTTTAAACACGTTACTTACCCTCTCTGGGCTGCAGTTTTCTCACCTATAAAGTGGAGTAAGACAGAAACTACCTCACACAGCGATGAGGAGGCGTTTATGAGCTAGTACAGAACAGGGGGCTTAGGACAGTGCTTGGCGCATGGCATCGTGTCAGGGCTCGCGATAACCAGTGGTAATCTTGTGATTACCATTATTTTAGGGCTCGCTGGCTAGGGGCAGTTGCAGTGACTCAGCTTCTGTCCCATGGCATGAGGGCTCCCTTCATCCTTCCTAGATGTCCCTCTAGGACACCTCTCGAGGATCGGGAATAGGCCAGCTCAACACGAGAGCTTCCGGCGGGAGGCGCACCGTGGCGGCAGGAGCCACGCGTTCCACATGCCCGTGCTTGGGGACTGTATCAGTTTCCTGTTGCCACCGTGACAAGTTACCACATGTGTAGTGGCTGAAACAACACGGCCGTGTCGCCTCACAGTTCTGGAGCTGAGAGGTCTGGGACGGGTCTCAGTGGGCTAACAGGCCGGCTTGCAGTCCCTTCCCCCATCTCCAAAGGCAGCGACAGCACATCAATCCCCCTCCCATGCGTCCCCTTGACCTCTCATGCCTTCTTCTTCAGCGTGTAAGAATGCTTGTGACTCTACTGGGCCTGCTGGA